CCTCGAAGGCGCCGGAGGGGGCTTCCACAACGCCCGGAATCGAGGTACACGGGCAGCTAACACGGAGGGTCTGGGGGTCTCCCCCAGCGACGCATGAAGAGCTAGTCTTAATGTATGAAATGGTAAGGTCCCGAGTCTTTTCCTCCCGGAACCCAAGACCACTATTCCGTTTCTTCCACAGGCGTTCGCTTGCCGGCCAATGGGAGCGCGAAAAAATATCGCGGAGTTATCGTTTTGAAATATCGTCTTCGCCTCATCGCCGGGATTCCTTCAAAATTTTTGATTTTTGACCTCCGTTCGCCCTTCTTTGTGCCCCATTCGGGCTTCTTCCGCTTCGAAATCGCTTTTACAGACCGAACCAAAGTCGTCGAACGGAGCCTTACACTTACTGTTTTTTTTTATATTATTTTATCCTTCTCTCTGTTAAATATCAAATGAAACAGAACAGTTCTTCGACTGTGTTACAAACGTCAGTAAGAGTAGCCCATGTCGGTGGTTAAATATCTGAGTGACCCATTAAATATATTTTTAATAGAAATAATGTATAACAGAACTCTTCGTCGACGGTCAAGTCCATATCGATTATATAATTCTGCGACTGTGGAACGTAGAGTTCGAACTTTAATTCTGCAACCAAAATATCATAAAAATATATAAACACTGTTTCTTGAATAGTTTTTGTATTTTCAAATTTGGCGAAATCACATACTACAGTAAAACTTCCAAAATACGAAATCGAATGAGCAACAAAAAAAATTCTTAATATGGAGGAATTCATTAAATAGAATTACGTATTTTTTTTTTAAATTAAATTTATTAATTATGTAGAAATGTATGTACTTCTATGTTATATGTGTTAAGTAAAAACAATATCAAATAAAATATTATAGTTGAGCTTAGTTTTTAATCTTATAAATTAAAATAAATAATTATTGAGTTATGGACGAAGAGAAAACGAGAGAAAATTCGTATTTACACCCGTTTGCATCAATATTGAAACTGAAGTACTGAAGTAAAATTAATCAGTTTGCCTATCTTCGGTGTCTTATCTATATCGAATTCTTTGTTCATGCACAATTTTTGAACAATGTTTAAAATTAAGAATGAAGGTCATAGTCCTTAAATATATTTCGTTAAACAGAAAATTTCATGAAATGGAAGTTCGTTATACGAAAGTTTCACTGTATTTGATAACCAAGAATAATGATTTAAATTGTTTTGTTGTAATTTAAAAATTTAAGATACCAACTCGAAACTTTTAGAATATATTATTATATTTTATATACGCTCAATGACTGTTCAAATGTAATTTTTTTGCAAAAATGAATATTACCGCCATTAGAACTCAATACTAATTATGCTTAGTAGTAAAATATATTACTTTAAGCATGATGACATCATCAAATATACTAAATTATTAAGCAATATTATTCATTTCGTTCAGAATCGTTTTTCATATACAATGAATTATATCATTGAATTCAAATTTAACACCATCCATTAAAGTGACCCACTTGTAACCTACTGCACAGGCGAGCAACATCCACTTATCCGCTTTTCTTTATTATATTATTTTCATTGTGCAGCGACCAACAATATTAATAGTCTTTAAAGTATTGTTACATAGGTACACAAAAAGCAAAAGATACTAACAGACAATAATAATTATACCTATATAGCAATAATAATATATAATTTATGTAGCAAAACAAAATATAATTCCATACAACGATATAAATTAATATTATTACATACCATAAATAGTACATTAGTAATAATATGTTTGCGACTCCCCTTTAGCATTATGCTTCTATTGGGGGATACCTATACAAGTTTGAATTCAGTGCAATATGAAATATAACACTCAAATTGTATACAAGACTACAAATAAGTGGCTAATATCCCTGTGAAGAATATTTAGGTGTACAGACGGAGAAAATATTTATTTACTTAGGTTAATTAAATTGTGCATTTCTTATGTAAGTTTATTAATCATAGAATAAACCAAATTGCTTATGAATTTTAATTTTAATTTTTTTATTGGTCTTGAGTTTTTAACACTAAGAACCCAGGTAGTCACTCGTATAGGAACTATAGTGGCAGCAGAAGGTGTATTGCAGCGACCTCACCACGCTAAGCCATTTATGATTTTTTGTTTTTATTTTAGGATATTACATTGATATGGATATCAACACGAAAACGGTAGGTCATGGACAAAGATTTCACTTTTCTATATTTATACTATTTGGGTGTATAAAAGTGAAAGACTATGATTTAAAACTATACCTATGGATTCAATAAAGTTAAGATAAAAATACCTATTGTTAGGTATTAATAGTAGTATTCATTTTCTTTTTAGTTTTTTGATATTCGCAGAACTGTGGAAATTTACTAGCATTTTGTTATTTAGTTTTATAATAATTGCTAGAATGTGCTCTGTTAAAATTACTTAGAATAACTAAAAAATGTGTTTATTTACTCACATTCATTTTATAAATACTTCAACATACTTCAACATATTTATCGAATCACCTAAATATGTTTTTATTATAATATGTTAGTATGATCTAACAAAACATATCTATACTGCACTAATGCACGATGGTGTCATGGTATTCAAATATTTTATTATACTAGTCACTTTAGTTTCTATTGATGATAAATCATGACATTTAAAAATCTATACACACTCTCAGTGGATTTCATTATTAAAAGCTATTTCAAATATAAAGTTCTCATTCAGATATGTTCGGTTTATTTAGTATTCTATTTATAGTAAGAACTCAATTAACTTTATGTAACCATTTTTAATTTTTAATTTTAAACTACTGAGGAAAATCGTTTTTGCTAATTATCGATCTATGTATAAATGAATTGGTCTTTGTGTGCATTCGTACCAATTGAGTTCTTAACAATCTTTTGTATAGGTTCAAAATATACGAGATTTGTTATTTTATTCTTATAAACATTTTTTTTGTCGACACTTTCACAATATGGAGAATAGATTACTAGCTTTAGGTACATGGCATATTACAATTTATAATACATTGGTACATTATTTTACTTGATCCAGGAGATATTAATACCAAATCTAAAGTTGTTCTAATTAATTTTAGTAGTGGGTTTTAACTATTAGTTTTAATCTTTTAATTAGTTCATCTCCAAGCCAGTATATTTTTAAGTATTTTAAGTGAGAAAATATGAAGGGTTTAATTGTAAAATATTGATTTTGTTTGTTTCAGGAACTATCCGAAGATTTTAAATCAGACAAAGATGGAATATGACGTTTATAAAATTTATAAAATTTCATTTTATTTATAATCAATAATGTATAATTATACCTAGGTATTCAAAATGAATAATACGTTTTAATATTGTAATGAAAATAATGTTCGATTATTTTGTAAACAAAAATACACTTTATATTTAAAGAGACATTATTATTAATATTAAGTTAATCAGTTTAATATAATTTAATTACCAATAGCTAATAATAGTGATACTCTGATAATATTGTACTGTACTATCTGTACTACTCTGTCTCAACTATTCAAACTATTGTGTTCGGTTTTCAGTTAGCTCAAATTTGTTCAGTCGTCACTTGTCAGTGTTTGTCCAATTGTTGTCAAATGTTTAATATTTATATTTATATTATTATATTTATAAATTCCTGCTTATATGATATTCTCACGCACAATATTGTAAAACTTACTAAATAATTTTAACAACTAAAAACCTAATGAATAATACATTAAAAATTTAAAAATAATAATCATGACTTTTTTTTATATTTATTATTTTATTATAAAGTCCTTACTCCTTAGAGCCTAGGCAATTTATTAAATTAAATAATACATTATTATTTATTACTCTTAAGATTAATTATTATCATACTGTAATATCATTTATTCTGTTTCCATTTCTTTACGAACTATGTATTATAATTTAATCTGTATCACTGTGCTCTAATTTTGTAAATAATATGTAATTGGGTTATCTAATCCATTTAATTAAATAAATAAAATAAAAGAAATAAAATTATTCAATACCTACTTAAAACTCAGAATAGGGAAATAATGTCCCCAAAAAAGGTCATAGTCATATACTTTTAAATTGCGGTCTGTGTACTTTTAAAACAGGTATCTAAATGCTTTTACATTTTAAATAACGATAAACGCAAAAATTGTATAAGGTTTTAATTCTGAATAACGATAAACACAATAGTTGAATAACGTTTAAATTTTGAATAACGATCAACTCAAAATTTGTATAACGTTTTGATTGTAAATAACTTAAAACAAAATTTTTTTTCAAATGCAAGCCCTGCTTAAAACCAACATTTCTGTCACTATCCCCATCTTCCACTACAGCAACCAGTATTACGGTTGGTTTTATTTTATAACATCGCGTGTGCGTACTTTTTTACCGGGATAAATTTATTCGGGCCACATATAGGTGGTATATAAATTTACCCCTATAAATTTTACATAAAAAAAATTTAACTTCTTTTGAGTTTTATCGTTGGCACATTTACTTAATTATGTCTAAACGAAATTTCAAAAAGTGGGGCATCGAAAAGAAAAATGAATGAATTAAGACAAATCATTTATGACAAACTATGTAAAAAATAGTATGGCCCACCACGCTCTGAAAGGAGTTATTGGGTCGCCGGCGGCCATGTGGCAGCCAACGTGTTAATAACTATCATATATACATTATTTAATAAATTAAAACACAATTATCAAAAGAATACTGTCACAATAGCGTTAAAGAAAAGTAAAATAAAAATAATAACACCCGATAACATTTTAAATAATACCATAGACCCTACTAGTCCGCCCTGCTAGCACTGAGCACATAATAAAATTGTTCACCAACATTTTGTGTATGTAACGATTCATTATTAACAGATAGTGGTCAACCGTAATGTGGCAAAATCATGAGTCCCGATTCCATTAACAAATGAAAGATTTAATACCAGGCTAATATACAGTCCACAACTACAAAACAAATCAGCATTGATAGGCGTGAGCACTGAATCCCGAAAAAAGAACACAAAAAAATAGAACAATTAAAAAAGATATTAATATAATTTTTAAAAATTTTTCTTTTAAGGTTAAAATTATGTAAAAAGAGTACCTATTTAAAAAAAAATTAAAACTTTTGCTAATGATTAAAAATTGTTTAAAATATTGAATTAAAAATTAATGTCAAATAATTTATAAAATATTTTGCACAAGAATAAGAGCGATCAATGAAGCATTTATGTGAATATAATACCTATAGACAATTAGACTTATTATACAGGTGTGCAGTATTAATAATAAATAAAAATAAAATTATTATTTTAAAGAAATAAGTAATTTTTTTTTGTGATAATCAATAAATTAATATATTTTTAATTTTTAAGTTGTTCTCTTTCCAGTGATCTTTTTTGTATATTATGTTCATTTTTTCCCTGTTCTTTTTAGCAATTTACCTTGCGTACGTGGGGGCATGCTGGGCAACTGATCTCCCTGCGGTCTGAATTTTTATCCAAATAAACTATACAAATTACAAATATTACGAAATTTATACTGGTAGTCATTATTTAGGCAATCGTGTTCACGAGTTTTTGATACAAATTTACCACGAATCTGAGATAAGATATATGAACAAAAAGATCTATGTATAGTTCATTCGTTATTATTAATATTTAATTATTGTTACTAATGATATCGGCAATAGGTAATAAAGATATTCCGTAGTTAAACGTTTAAATTAGTGATTAAGGTTTAGGAATAATTAAAATATTTTGAATCTGTACTTGCAATAGAAGTAATGCGGACTAGTTGAACATTTTAAAAATTGCGTTTAATCAAAACAAAGTTACATAGTAGTTAGTGCAATGCAACGAGTACACGATGAACCACATTGGACTACCAACAATGTTCATTGACATAACTTAGCTTAGAATATAAATATTGATGATGTGATAGAACAATTTAAAATATTATATTCCTTGGTATGAACTAGTGCTCTAGAATCTAGATATAGTGCGGTCGACGAAAAGTAGGCCGCGATCGTCACGCGCCTACCGGGCGTTTTACGGCATGGATCTCCAAACTTTTTCCCGCCTAATATAATTTCAAATCGTGTAATGTACTAACATAGAACACTATTGAAGCGACACTCTCGGGCGGCTAATGTTAATGTGTTTAGAATTCTTAATGGCCTTGAAATGGTTCGTAACTTCTTGTCATACCGCCAAGCTTACAACATCATTCATGTTATTCCGACTAATCATACAATAATACACTTTTGTATGATATAACTTATAAGTTAATAACAACTATAGGTAAATACTTATGTATATGTTATATATATATATAAACCTAGATTCTAGAGCGCTAAATATAATATACTCGCTCTTATAATAAGAAAGTATTCATTATATTTGTAGTATTTTTATTAAGACACAAGCCAAGTTCATTCTATTATTAATTTTGTTTTTTTTTAGATTTTCTATTCAACAATTTTAAAATAACTTTGAAAATTAAGCAGTAGAGTAATACAAAAATTGTTGTTACAGATAAGAAAATTACAACCAGTACATCGATTAAATAGTATTGGTACCATGGCATACCAACGGCGACAGACCGATGATGCGGTGCCCCTTTATGTCGGATGACATACTCTGTCCAATACACTGCAGTTTCCAAAGGAGACATGGGTCGATCACGAAATATTTCTGATAACTCTTTAGCCTTTTTTTTGTATCTATATTTAACAAATAAGTAAAGATCATAACTATAATATAATACCAGTAGCGTGCCCAGAATTTTCAATGATTGGGGGGGGGGGTATGTTATAAGTAAAAATGCATTTTAATGGATTGTTATGGTAATACAATTGATAATTGATACCCCGCATACTCCATAGCCTATGTTCGTGATCTGCAAGTACAAATAAATGTAGGTATACTGACTATAGCAGAGAAATAATATATTACATTATTATAGTGTGTATACTCTCTACTCTGTGCAGTTAACGTAGTTAACGTTAAGTTCTGATTTGTTAACGGACAATCGACGCTCAATGCTGTTTGAAAACTTATACAAATCATTAATTGTTCAATGTAATAACATCGGATAAAAATTGAAATGCTTACCTATCATCTGATTAATGATTTTGTTTAACTTATTAATTTTAATTTTTTAATATTTTTTAATATCACACATTTTTGTAAGCCATTATTCATTGGCAATAATATTGTATTATAGTATAAATTGTATAATACATAAAACAATTAATCATTTAATCATTTTTTTACAATAACATTTTTTTTAAAGCATATTTTAGTAATTTTTAGGGCCATAACTGCATACATATTTTGTAGATTTTTGGGGCATATAATTGTTGGCCCTAGTGATGAGTAATGACATAATATGCATATTTAATTTGTTATACCTATGACTAGTGATATATTAAAGTCAGAGAGCCGCCACTGACCATAACGATACGAGATAAGTGTTATACTGGGGGATATGCAGGGTCCGTGATATTAAAAAATATAATAACGATCACAACAAAAACACTTCGTCGAACAACGTGTAACGGCCAAGTAAAAAAAACCAGATTTTTTAGTACTATAAAGATATTGTGATATCATAATTAAATTCCATGTAAATTAAATTAAAGTACACTTATTTTGTTTCACTAACTTATTTCCTCGGTGAAAAATTATATGCTTGTATACGCGGCACACGAAATAACGTGAACAAAATAAACAAAAGGATTTGGAAATTCCTTTTAGTTTGAAATATTTTAATAAACATTTCTACTCAAAATAGTTTCTAGCCAAGTAAATAAATTATTGAATCAAAATAGTGTACTTTAATTAAATTTTTGCTCAGCATTTATTTATTTACAGTTTTTTGGGGGACTTTATTTTATCACTATGTTTATTTTTTTATTCATACTTATACTAAAGTACTATAGTAGTGTATTACCATCATAGTACTATATTTAATTTAAGATAAAGCACATGGTTAACCTTAACACAATAACACATTAGACACAATATACACACCAACGACATGCGACGGCAACACAACGAAGCGATAGCCCATAAAATATATTAGATAATAATATAATATAGCGATAGACGATAGTTGATAACGAAATGAAACAGATAAAAAATATGGAACGCAAGACAGCAATAATGAAATATGTCATTTTGTACTACGTACACGAAATGGAGAGGGAGAACCGGTCGGCACGACAACGCGAGATGCGGCCCCCGTGATTCTAGATTTCATTACGATTTCTCATTAAAAAATGTACACGTTTTCTTAATAAAATAATTTCTAACTGTGCGATTTCGATAATTTTTTGCAAAA